GGGACAAATAACCACTGGGAGGCAGGGCACTCAAAAAGTGTGTGTGTGTGTGTGTGTGTGTGTGTGTGTGTGTGGTGCGGGGGGGAGGCCACGACAGAAGTAAACGTCCCTGGCAAGATCCTATTCATGGCCTTCATGTTCTATATCTAGATTGGTCCTTAGTCATTGCGTCATTATTGAAAAAACTTCTCTGCCTTAGAGGCACATGAAGTGCCAAGGATATTTAAAAGTCTCGTGTTGTAAATCTAGGCTAATGTTCAGTAGGATATATAAGATATTCAGAATGCAAGTCAAGTCTCAATATTAGTTAATTGTGTTTGAATTGGTTCATTATGACAGATCATAACTGTGAAATACAACAAAGAAGAGTCTGTTATTTATATAAAAATTAGCAGTATTCTGAATCCTTTGATTTTTTTAAAGCAAAGATTTAAAGCTGTGTAAATAAAATTTGGCAACTGCAGCTTATTTAGGACACTAAATAAAATAAGACAGCTGATGATATCATCAAAGCATTGAAAAATATAGTATTTTAAAGAAATGGGTAAAAGAGCATTTTAAAAAAATCATTAGAGCCAACTATTTTCCTCTTTTTCATATTTCTTTTAATGAATGTTAAATAGGTATTGAATAAAGAATATGTATATGCCTTATCCTGCCTGTGCAATAATTTATTATTGCTTATAATTAGAACTTGCTTGGATTATAGTTTAATTATTTTGACAGATTTATTGTTTGTAACTCTGGCATACATCTTTTTATGTCTATTTCCCTTTCTCTACCATACTGAGGGAAATACAGATAAGTAGAAATGATCAATTATGCTCTATATTTTAATTGTTTTTTTACATGTGGACAGTTTCAAGGAAGGATAAAATGCCATTTCATCACAGTCTACCATTCATAAACAAGAAAAGTACTCAGAAAAGTATGTCACCCTTAATCTGGTGTGTGTTAAAATCTTATATTTAATGTAGGCCAAAAATGACACATCATTTGTTTTGGAGTAGCTGCATTGAAGGCTTTAGAGAGAGCACTTCTGAGTTGTGACTTGAGTCACAGAGCACACATAGTGGAGGATGAAAGGAAATGACAGTGAAGGGAAGCTGTATGAAATCATCCTTTTGGGACCACCTTTTAACACTACAGATTATCCATTCAGTATCTTAGTGGAGCAGGATAAATGGGGCATCAAGAGGCTTTTTGCATTTGACCACTTTCTTTAAGCCGGTGCAGGATATAAGAGCTCGTGAAGAAATATGGAATGGTTGAAAAATGCTTTACCCCATTTTCTTTTTTTACCCACATTTGTGATAGCTGCACTGAAGTAACATGAGGTTGATGTAAAATTGTAGCTCATCTTGTTGGCCCCAAACCCAAAAGTCACAATGGGGTAGTATCTTTATCAGGACTAACTGAAAAGTCTCAAAAGCCATGGACAAACATTCAAGCTGATCATGATGTAGGTTGCGCTGTGCTGAAAGGCGACATGACACAGACTTAAATCTATTAAAGTGATGTATGATTCCATTAAAAACTATTAAATGGATGCAAAATTAATGTGGATGTAACTGTTGTCTATTGGGATTCATTTTATTTATCCTGAGAAAATACAGACAAACTCTTTCCATAATTCCACTGAAGTGAAATATGGACATTTAAGATCAGATATGATGGATGGTAACTAGGGATGGATGAACCTGTCAATTTTGTTTTTTCTCAATTTCTTATATTCTCTATCATATATTCACTTTGTCTTAAACTTTATGAATTTTCCAATCTTGCTTCTAGTTTAGCCTAGCCATTGAGAAATGCTTTTAAAGTGTTGATGAAAATTCATTTGTATTTTTACTTTTTTGCAAGTACTATTCCTAATATATAATGCATTTTTATATATGCATTATACTAAGGTGTTAATTGAAGAACTTCACTGCAAAATTTCATCAATTATGAATTTTGGTAACTGAGTTTCATTTTAACATTTTGATATCAGTTTTGATAACCGAGTTTCACTTTACTTATATGTCTGAAGTGCAACATTAGATAAATTTGTATGAATTTGTATTAGCTAATTCTTCCTCATCCTAGTGGTGATCTGTATCCAGCAGAATGAGAGACATTGGGCAATATTCAGATTTACCTGTGCATCACCAGGAGTTAGCAGTTAAGAAAGCAACTAGGAATTAATAAAAATCCTTGTTTGCTTGAAGACAGAAACTCCACCAATCTTTCCTGACCTAAAAACAAGCATGTTTGCTTATTTCTAGAGTTGCTTTTTGACCTGCTAGCTTTCTGTTGCATTGGAAGCGGATCCCACAGACAAACACAATGCAAGTGGCACAGCACCCACATTGGATATGCCCCTATTTTTCCCTTGATATACTGCAATATACTGTTGCATATTGTATTGTACAAACTTGACCAAGACATAAGTTGATCCACTAAGAACATGTCCAAGTCAGTAGAGGCAAATGGTAGAAAACCCCATATTAATAAATGTCCAATACCTTCATAAGGCCCAATGAGAGGCATTCAGTGGGATAGAAAAAGTACATGTGGGGTGTCTATAACTACTCACTTGTCTCACAAAGGCATACACAGATGAACTTTCTACACAAGGAAGAAATGGCTTGAAATACAGAAGAGTGGGCAGAATCCATTTACCCCCTTCCGAACCATTTGTGCCCATAACTGCTACTAGCAATCCTGTGCAAACCTTTGAAAAATCCCGACAAGCATTCAGTAGATTTTCGTAACTATGCCTTTCCCTGCTCCCAAGATAAAAATGGACTTGCTTTGGAGAAGGAAGGTGGTAACAGGTGATGGATGGTCCACTGGACAAAGGAGAGGCCTCATACTTCTCTGAAAAAGGTGAACATGTAGTACAATCCTGAGACTGCTTCTGCGTCTCATGGAAAATTCCATTGCTTCAGCCCCCCACTCCTCAAAAAGGTAGAAGGGATATTGAGTAGTGTAGGACTGAATGAGTGAGAGCAAAACTCAAAGAAGACCATCACTCATGGTGAGCTTTGCCCACTTTGGTTCTGCCCTTTTTAATTTGAGCTGGGGGGTTGCATTTGTGAACGTCTGCGCTGCAAAGACTTGCCCCACACATGATTGGAATACGTATTCTCTCCCATTGACACACTTGCCTTGGAATGCAGTGCTTAGACCATTTCTATTTTTGAGCTAGGTCAGTTTCACATGTATTCGGACATAAGTCTGTTCAGTTGAATTCTGCAGTGGACTACAACAAACAAACCATCTCATACATGCATTTCCCTGAATATACACATTTTTGTAGGCAACTTCTCCTAACGTATGTATTTGATGCATTTTTGAGCTGATCACTGCATCTCAGAATTCAGAGAAGTACAGAAGCTAAAGGATAAGTGTGTTCCAATCTGAATATTAGTTGGAGAGGTGGGACTAAGGTCCATTTGTTTAAAAGTCCTATTCCTCCTTGGAATGACAGACGGTCAATCTGTAAGAAAAGCAAAGTGAAGCAAAAACAAAAACAGAACAGAACTCAGCTCATCTTCAGTTATGTATAAATCACATTTTGAGAGCAAATGTAGTGCAGAAGTGACAACAGTTCACCCCATGCTCCAACTTCCTTTTTGTAATCCTTTGTACATACAATTGTGATATGGCAGGATGCTGATCAGGACAGGGGTTTTTCTTGGAAGCTGCTCCAGAAAGGCTCACCTACATCACAGTCCTTTTATGTGAACACCTTTTTATTTTCTCAGGCTTTTAGTCTTTCAGCTTTACATGTGAAAAAACACATTACTGTGTTGTTAGATCTTTATATTGCTTGCTGCAGGCCCTTATCTCCCCCCACCCCCTTTTTAACCTGGGTTTTGTTCTGTTTTAAAGTTTAAGATTTTAATAGTCTGCTTTAGTTCCATTTTGTGAAGTTCCCAGAAAACTTCAGATAACGTGTGGCACTGAAATGTGACAACTAACTAAATGCATTTCTTGATTTTCTCACAGAAAGATGGGCAAAAATGATGGGGAACCCCATATAGCCTCTTTCTAGGCAAGTTTTCTTCCAGCTAGACTTGTTTCTGATACTGGAATTCTGCTTGAGGAGTAGCTAGGTAGGTCAGGGTGGGGATAACCTTGCTGGACATAGGCCATCGTTCAAGAGAGAATTTTGCCATCAGTGATCTTACACTGTACATTGTGAAATAACCTGCTGTGCTCCCTGTTTGAGCAGGGCAGTTTGAATCATATGGAGGAACAATTCTACGCATGCTGAGATAGAAACAAAGCCTACAACCCCCAGCATGCCCCAGCCATGGCATGGGGCATGCTGGGAGTTGTAGGCCTTTTTTCTGTCTAAACACGTCTGGGTTGTGTCTTTAGTCTGCTTTTTTAAAGTGTAGTCTGAATTTGCATGAAGCCGTATCTTTGGATCTCCTCCTCTAAATATGTGCTGTACTTTGCAGAATTTTGGGCAAAATGTCCAAGAGTAGTTCTTATTGCTTTTGCTTATTTCCACAAGTACACTGATGACACAAGCAACCAGTTCCTTTCTATTACTAACAATGTTTTCAATGTAACTGCACCCTGAAGAAGTGATGGCTGGGGGAGGGGGAGGACATCACAGTGATAGATACAGTGGAAATAAATTATAGTGATCAAGAAACACACTTTTAAAAGCTTTCTATATATGCATCCAGTTCACAGACTAAATCCCCTGAATACTGGATCCAAGGGCAAGTTTTCTTTTGATGAGGATTCTTTGTATTAATTATAATGCTTTTAAAGGAAGTATTTTAATGTGACCTTCACTTGGCATTTGTCTTAACTTTTCTTCTCCTGTTTTTATTTAATTCTTCCACTTCTGTTGTTCAATTAGCGTTTGACCCCTTTAGCAGAGATGTAAATTAAATGACATTTCAATGCCATCCCATATTTAAAGTACTATTTTAGTTGTGGATCATAAAGGGTGATCTTCGTTCTTAAGCTAATTTATTCATTTAACAATTTCCCCCCAGAAGTTCCAGCAGAAGGCTCTGCAACAAGCTAAGCAGAAGAAATCCAAGTCGGCTGAATTTCTGATGGGTGAGCCTTGCTTGATGAGTTATTGCTCATAATTTGTGTAAGGATTAATTAACTAATTACAGACAAATGGCTGTGGGCGAAATTTTGCTCTTGCTTGTCAGAGTGCAATTTGTAATTATTTTAATCATTTATTCCCCCCCCCCACCATTTTATAAAGAGTTAATTTTAACCTAATTCTGTTTTGGTGTCATTTGATGCTGATAACACTGAAGTCTTTCAGTAAAAGAATTATTAGAAGGAATGTTTTGCATGTCACTGTTTTGGGTGCTGTTCTGACCTTGAGGCTTTCCCCCCCTCAGTAGGAAAAGATGAGAGAGTTGCAGCAGAAGGGACTGCAAATCCAGCTTTTAACATCAGCTGCACTGATCTTTCAGCATATCAGACTTCAGAGGAGGAAGTTATTAGACATGACAAGCTGGATAGCACCCTTGCAGCTCACCGAGAGAAACGCAGGCTGCAAACCCGAAATGAACCAAGAGGTGAGACTTCACTCTTGATCATCATCAGATTGAGTGACAGTGGTTCGGTGCGCGACCTAACTGGTACATTCCACACTGTGCAACAGACATGCCATCCCAGTGCATTCCAACAGGGCTTCCCTAGAAAGCTAGGATGTTAAAATTGGAAGGACAAAATGATGGCTGGAAACATCTGTCGCAGAAATGTTTGGAGGTCCCCCTGCCCTTTCCCCTTTGTGTTCTGTACATGTTTGCTGTACATGTTGCTCAGAGTCAGGAGAAGTTTCAATGAAAAGTATCCTCTTCTAAATTGCCTGAATAGCTGTGTGGTGCCAACAGTAAACAAAGTTAGTGGAATTCCACAGTACTGGCACACAGGACATAGATATTTATTAGCTATAGAGTACTAATATGTGTTGTTGCTACAACAGCAGTAGCCTTACTCTTATTGAAGGATTCATTCCGTAGCTTCTGATGCTCAGCATTTCTATGGTACTTTTGAAGAATGTGGAAAGCAATCTCACATACCACTTCTGTAGCCCTCATAGTGAAGATGTGGACAGGGCCAGTCCTACCTTTGGGCAGAGTGAGTCTCACGTGCCAGTCATTCCCTTCCGCTGGGGGACAGAGCTGTGCATTCCAGGCAGTGAGACATCATGCCTCATTCACAGAATTGCATGGATTGTGTGTGTCTGGTTATTGTCATCTTCCACCTGTGAACCTCCTCTGTCTTTTCCTAGCATTTTTTTCCATCTCTCTCTCTCCTTTTCTCTCAGTTTAAGGAGCAATTCTTGTCTGGAATGGACTATGTTCCATTGGTGGCCACAGGCAGAAAGGGCAGGGTCAAAGTGCAATTCTTAAAACTTCTCAGAGGTAATGTCAACTCACAAGTAAGGAGGACACACTTCTGCATGTTTACTCAGGAGCAAGGAGGACTGAATCACTGCACTGCACTAAGCCCATTTAAGGCTAAGAAAACAAGCTTAACTTTCCAGCAGTCCATCCTGAGCATCTCACATGCCGTACTTATGTACTGGTCTGCTATTTTAGGTTTCTTTTGTATTGCTCTTATAGGAGACTGCCTTACACTAAATCCAAGCAAATCATCTAACTTAGCACTGTTCACACTGGTTGCTAGCAACTGTCAAGGCATTGAACCAAGAACTTTCTGCTTGCAAAGATATACTCTGACTGAAGTCATGCATAGATACTCTAAAAAGTCTCCATCATATTTATGGGTAGGAGAATTGAGGGTCCATATTACTGAATTTTTCCAGGGGCAGAAGGAATTCTCCAACAGTTATTCTCAGGCAGGACTCACAAATAGCAGTGCCCATGAATGAATGAATGAATGAATGAATGAATGAAACAAATGAAACTATGCCTTTCTTCCTTTTGTCCTAAGCAGCAAATGTGTTGGCAGCCAGGTTACATCCAGCATCATCTGAGGACATAGTGGTGGGAAGCAACATCCACCACCAAAAAGGTGGTGAAGAATATGATAGGAAGTTCTGCAAAATATTCTTTTTCTAGGGGGTGTCAGGTATGTGCTGAGCAAATGATGAGAATCTCAAGAATGATCTCGGACAAACATCTTCTGAGAAATCCCAACTTTGTCCTAGTAACAGCCACTCTTCAAGGAGCTTCATGTTTAATTTTCAGGTAATCACTCACTTCATAGTAAACTGTTCAGCATGAGCAAAACTCTTATGCTTTGTGCCTGCAGAACATGAAGAACATTTCCCTTCAGGTTTTGTTCTTACCTAGAAGCTGCCTGAGTCTGCATTGCCAATATATCAGTCAAATAATCTAGGAAACATTCAGTCCAATTGAAGAGGCTATCCCAAGGTTGGCAAAATGCTAGATTTCAACATCTGGCACAGTGTCTACCATTTGGTTTTCTCCCCACCCCCTTGTCAATAGACTATTGCATCATGGTGATCTCTTGGCCTTAAGCATCTCTTAGGTTTTTCTTCTTCTCTTATGGATTGGCCATTAAGTTGTTTAATAAAAGATGCATCGTCTAATAGGGGTTTGCTAACAGGCTCTCTTAACACTAGCAAGTGCATTTTCTCAGGCATTCAACCCCACAACATTTCTGCAGGAATGCCAGCAGGTCCAGCGCTGGCACAATGCCCTGTGCTGCCTGCAGGGGAAAAAGAGAGAGAGAACCACCAATTAAGCCTATTGTGCTAGGAGAGCTACTGTATGAACCAAAGCAGATGCAGCCAACTTTGCAAAAAGGAAAAATGAGCAGGGCAGAGGCAGAAGCAGAGCCAGAATTTTAAGGCCATCCTGGCAGAAGCAGGGATTGTGACTCTGCTTATACTCATGGACGTTATCTGGGACCTATCAACACTGAGTGCTCAAAGCAGAATTAAATGTTCAGACAGACACATGGCACAATTGTCCTTGGGACTGTACCACCTCCACATGCACTTGTCTAAAAGCAGCAGCATGCCAAAATCGTCCTGCCATGGGTGGTTCCAGGTTTGGGAGGCCCTTGGGCAAGATCGCTTCTGCAGGACCCTGCCTGACTGGGTCCATCACCTTCTCATAGCCCACTCACTTGCACTTTTTCTCAGAATTCAGTTTGTACAACTGCCCAGAGGAAAAGCACAAGGTATATGTGCAAGCTGCCCAGAAAATTCTCGGGTTATGGGGCAGCATAGAAGTAGAAGGAAATAAATAAGAAAAATAAAGGACACTATTTTCACTTCCTCCTCTGGTCAGAATCGGCATGTTTGGAGAGGGAAGGGGAGCGAGCAGTGACAGCAAAGAGAAATAGCAGGGCTAGGAGGTGCAAAGGTTTGGCAGTAGACCCCCTGCAGCAAGTATGGGCCTTAGCAGATACCCACTGTTGTCTTCCTGCAGGTGGAGAAGTACCAGTCTAGGTAAAAGATGATCTCTAAAGTCTTCTCCTTGACTTTCTGTGCAAAGAGTTTTGAAACCAAAAAGGTATGTTGTACAAAGGGATTGTATATAGTACAATTGTATGAATTCTTTGGGAGCTTTCATAAATTTCTATTGCTCTTCTATATGGGTTCTTCCATTGCTGCCATTGATGGTCTCCAACTTGAATGAATGAGTGCTGTCCAAAATGTCCTGCCTTGGCATTCCTGCTTTTGTAAACTGAAGACTGTGGTCTTCCCCTTCTTCTTCTGCCTTTGACTCCCCCAGCAGTATTGCGTTCTTCAGTGAGTCTTGCCTTCTCATGATGTGACTGAAGTGTGACAGCTTCACTTTCATCATTTTTGCTCCCAGGGAAAGTTCTGGCTTGACTGATCTAGGACTTCTCCTAGATTTCTGTCAGTCAAGGGTGTTCACAAAGTTCTCCTCCAGCATCATGATTTGAATCCATTAATTTTCTTTCACAACCTTACATAGTAATTGGAAATACAATGATGTGAATGATCTTGGTTTTTGTCTCAGTGAATTGTCCTTACACTTGATGATCTTTTCAGATTCCTTCATTGCTGCTCTTATTTATTTATTTATTTATTTATTTATTTATTTATTTATATTTATTAAAACATTTTTATGCCGCCCCATTCGCCGAAGCCTTGGGGCGGCTCACATCATTAAGTTAAAATAATTATAATATAAATTAAAATATAAATATAAAATTAAAATACAACAGTACAGTATAACTCTTCCAAGTGTCACTCTTCTTTGTTATTCTTGGCTGCAATCTCTATGAATTGAGGACTGAGATAAGGTGTGTAAAATCTTTTACAATTACAGTGCCTTCATTGCTGACATTGCACTTGTATAATTCTTCTGCATTCATTTATTTCCTGACTGTTCAGTTGCAGTCTGGCATTTGTTTCTTTCACATTCATCAGAACATTACTACTTTCTGCCAGTAATAGGCTATTACCTGCATATCTTAAATTACTGATGTAACTTCCACTAATTCCCCCTCTTCCTTCTGTTCCTAATCCAGCTTTTCTTATGATACATTCTGCAGAGAGAATACACCATTGTCTGATGCCTTTTTCTAGAGGAAACCATTCTCTCTCTCCATATTCTTTCCTAACAGTAGTTTCTTGTCCATGATACAGGCTATGCATCAGAATTATTTGATGCCAAATAGTCAGGTGCTGAGGTGTAACACTGGCAGTTTCTATGGAGCTATTTGCTCCCTAATGAACATTGCAACACAACCTAACATAGAAAACGAACCTTTTCTTATCAATAATTTTCTTATAACAGACAAAACAGCATGAACAGTTGTACTATGTAATAATCATAACAAAATACTACAATCCAAAGTACCTGGCAACAGCACCAATACAAATAAAACTGGCTCTAGAGCCGCAAATTTCAAATGTCCTTTTGAATACAACTTGTGTCCTCTTCAACTTGTGTCCTCTTCAACTTGTGTCCTCTTCAACTGGTCTGGACACAGAAGGGTCAGCTGCATGTACAGAATCCTCAAAACCCTGGAATAAAATGCCAATTCAGTTGTATATACATGAATTCATTATGTATATCAGGGATTTTACCAAAACCAATTTGTATTTCAGGGATTTTACCAAAGCCAACAGCCTTAGTGGCAACAGCAGCTCCTGTCTCTTCAGGTTTCCCACTCTTTTGGAGTCAAATTTCTCACAGCCCCGCTCTTTCTTAGTTCTGCTCCATAGGGCTGAGCCCATATTTCATAGGGCTTACATTGGCACACCCATTTCTTTCAGAACCATCTACAGCTTCACATGATTCACACACTCACAGGCTTTGCTGTAGTCTATAAAGCACAGATGGAAAATCTTTGGTAAGTTCCAGTAGCCAGTGTATATTTCCAATATTATCTCCAAAGCCTTTTCCTTTCCTGAATCCAGTTTGAACACCAGGCATTTCAAAATCTATACAAGGTAAAATTAGTTTTTGCAATACTTTGAGCACCACTTTGCTCTCATGGGAAACTAGTGCAATGGCCCTGTAGTTGCTGTACTTCTCAGCAACTCCTTTCTTGGGGATTGGAATTTATATAGAATGCTGCTAGTCTGGGGGCCATGCTT